TCATGTGCATTTAAGCTTATATTACTACCTGTGAAATATTTACACAAATTCATCCTACTTGCACTGTTATATTCTACCATGTTTACTATATTTCTTTTGGACCTTGTAAATATTATATTTCTTTGTCACTTTTTGGTACTTTATGTTGTGCCCTTATTGCATGCTTTAGTATTTCTTGTTTGTTTGTTTTGTTTTGAGCGAGTCGAATCAGTTCTTCCCATCCTGAACGTTTCGTTGCACTGTTGACCTTGTGCTAACCTGCATATGACAAACAACAGAGTGTTTCTGAATGAACAAATGTTTACAATATTTAAACGATAAAGTTGAAAGTGAATGGTCATGATTGAGTGAAAGAGCTTAAGGGTGACATGAACGTAGACACATAATACATGACGTTGTGACAGACGGAAACTTGTGGCTCCATGAACAAACAAAGCTAAACCCTGGTGACCTGCACCTCAGACAAGTTACACTCAGGGAAACGATTGCAACACAGAAAACGCACAAACAGAACTGATTTGCGTCACAGCAGTAATACTTGTAAACATCATAAGTACTCCCACACGAACACAAAGAGCTGATTAAAGAAGCAGCCTTGGTGCACATAAGACTGTAAACAGCAGCATGAGACGGAACCTGTAGACAACCTGTAGAGTCGGATGTGTGTATGAAGGTCACGCATGAGTCCGGTCACATGCAGCCTTTTAGCAGACTGTTCAATGCCGCCATTGTTTCCTTCCATGCACACACTCCGTGACACACAAACGCAGCCTCGGTCACACTGAGAGAGCCTGACTCGCCTTTAGGTGGCGCTCTGTCAAACATTCCTCACTTCAATTCAGTTCGTTTATATGGCGCCAAGTCGTCATCCCAGGACACTGAACAGAAATATTCATTTATAAAAATAATATTTTAACATTATTTACCTGAGGAGCAGCTTTGAGTTTAACTCCATCGCAGAACTCTCATCTTACGCAAGCATGAAGGCGACAGTGGAAAGGAAAAACTCCCCCATGAGGAAGAAACCTTTAGCAGGACCAGACTCAGGACAAGAGGACCATCTGCTGCGACCGGCTGGGTTTGAGAGGAACAGATACACAATGGCAGGTCAATCATATAAATAGTATCAAATGAAAACTATTAATGCTTAACAATTCATTTTAAGAAATTAGGTCAATTTGTCCTCTAGTAGTCTAAACCTATGGCAGCATAACAAGCCAACCTTAACTATAGGATTTATCAAAAAGGTAAGCCCAGTCTTAAAACTGGACCATGTGTCAGTCTCACGGACAGAAACTGGAAGTTGGTTCCACAAGAGAGGAGCCTGATAACTGGAAGATCTTCCTCCCATTCTGCTTTTGGAAACTTTAGGAAACGCAAGTAAACCTGCAGTCTGAAAGTGAAGTGCTCTGTTAGGAAAATATGGGACTTTTTTTTCTCTTCTTTCGGCTGCTCCCTTCTTCAGGGGTCGCCACATCGAACTAAGTCGTACGAAGACTTGGCAATTATTTTTAAGCTGGATGTTCTTCCTGACAACCACAGACCACCGAGCTACCACAGCCCTCTGAGTGGAGCAGAGAGCTGCTATTTAGGGCGCCCGGTGGAGCAGATGGTGGGGGTTAAGGGCCTTGCTCAAGGGTCCAGAGTGGGGCAAAGAGGGTGGAGATAGGTGTGGGTGCTTGACCAATCCCACCACATTTCTTTAATGTTGTCAGTAGCGGGAGTTGAACCAGGGACCTTCTGATTGCAGGTCCACTTTATATAGCCGCTGCACCACCACTCCCTCAAAATATGGGACAATACGATTTGTAATATAAGATGGAGCTAGGTGGTTGAGCGCTTTGTAGGTTAGAATTAAGCTTTTGAATTCTATTCACAGAAAAACCACGTGTTACAAATAAATCAGGAGTGAGAACACCCTCTATATTCTTACGTTACATGTTTGCAACAAGGAGACACAGCCTAAAAACTTATTTTTTTAAAGTAAAACTCCTGCATAATCAGAAAATGTGTTGTAACCATGGCAACGGGATGTTGTAAAGTCTGAACTATCCAGTCATGATGAAACGCTCAGCTGACTGTCTCTCCGTCAGACGACGTTCCCGGTTCGAGTCTTCAAGCTGATGGGAGTGGAGACGCTGATCGTGACGAACGCTGCCGGCTCATTGGCTGACAGCCTCCAGCCTGGTGACATCATGATCATCAAAGACCACATCAACTTCCCCGGACTGGTTGGACTGAACCCACTATGTGGACCCAATGATGAAAAGTAAAAACTGTAAACCTTGCAGAGTGGCATCTGTGTGATGCCATTTTCAGTTGTCCTGATGAAAAGTTTAATGTAGCTGCTGATTTAGCTCCATCTATTTATGATGTTGCTTCTTGTTGCCTTTTTATTTGCGGTTTATAGGTTTGGGCCACGCTTCCCAGCCATGTCAGGTTGCTATGATAAAGGCCTGCGTTGCACAGCAATGGAGATTGCCAAGCAGATGGGCGTCGCAGAACTTCTGCAGGAGGGTGTGTATGCCATGGTTGGGGGACCCAACTTTGAAACCATCGCTGAGGCCAGACTGTTGCATCGACTGGGTGTGGATGCAGTCGGTACGACACACAAACACCACATTTACAGTCTCAGCCTAATAGGTTTCAGGGTTTAGTTTCCCAGGTGTGCAGTATTTCTTTTTGTTGTTTTGGTGACACTTTACTGTGAAAAACCCACATTTACCATGACTTAAAAATAGTCTTGTTTACATCGTCAAGTCAACTTCATTTATGAAGCACATGTAAAACAGCAGCTGTTACCCAAGTGCCTAACACTAAAATCAATGGGAGTACTAAGGAGATAAAAAAGAATGACTTTTATCAAAAAAATTAATGCAAATAATGATAGTACTGAAAAATAAATACAAGCATCCAAAGAAACACAGAGAAATAAAATATTAAATCAAGTCACACTGTGTAAAAAGCCAGGGAAAACAGATGAGTTTTTAGTAGAGATTTAAAAACAGGAAGTGAAGTGGCCCGCTTAACGTTGGGGGGCAGATTGTTCCAAAGTTTGGGGCCCACGACTGAAAAGGCCAGATCTCCTCTGAGCTTGAATCTTGTTTTTGGAACAGCCAAAAGCAGCTGATCAGATGATCTCAGGGCCCTGGAAGGAACATGTGGTTGTAGGTCAAAAAGGTATGAGGGTGCAAGGCCATTTACTATAAGGTCAACAGGAGCATTTTAAAATCAATTCTGGTACGTACAGGGAGCCAGTGAAGGGAGGATAGAACTGGTGTCATGTGATCAAACCTACGAGTTCCTGTTATTAGCAGAACTGTAGCATTTTGGATAAGATGGAGACGTGAAATGGAGACCTGACTGACCCCAACATAGCGTGCGTTACAGTAGTCCAGTCAGGTAAAGGCATGGACTAATTTTTTAAGGTCAGATCTGGAAAACACTGACTTAACCTTAGCTATCTGCCTTAACTGGAAGAAGCTTTTCTGCAGAACAGAGTTGATTTGTTTATTAAACTTCAAGTCAGAGTCTAAAACTATCCTGAGATTTGTAACAGACTGCTTAAGGTATGGCTGAAGAGAGTCAAGATTTACGGAGACAGCAGTAGACTAGGGTTAAACACAATGATTTCAGTCCTCTGATCATTGAAACTTAAAAAAAAAAATTGAAGCCATCCATGCCTGGATATCTTCAAGACACTTTAACAGAGAGTGAATGGAGCAAGAACTATTAGGTTTTAAAGGCAGATAAATCTGACAGTTATCATCACAATAAAATGAAAGACCATGTTTCCTCAGGATAGAACCCAAAGTGAACAGAGTGAAAACAAAAGGGGTCCAAGAATCGAGCCTTGTGGGACCCTGCAGGAAAGAGGCACTGACACAGATACTTCTGCACACACATTGCAGATGTACCTCATCTGCAATGTGTGTGCATCCCAATGGATGTACTACCTTAAGTACTAAGGAGATGAGATAC